CCCCGTTTCTTTCTCGTATATCTTGTTTGCGTGTATTTGCAGCACGTTCTCTGCGGCCTCATCAATAAGCATAGCGTGCCATTTTCTTATCCCGTGTGAATTAATTTTGTGTCATTTTCCTCTCTGTCCTGTGTTCACTCGCTCTCTCGTTCGCTTGCCGGCAACCGACACTCGTTACAATTTAATTCCATGACCAATGGAATGCGTTGTTTGTGCGAATGTTGTTAAATTAGACGAAACAATTCCCCAACTACAGCAACCAAACACAGAGTAAAAAAAGTGTATAACGTTAATACTACTTTCCGAACGAATTGTCTAGGTTTCAAATGAAAATGTAATTTTCTCTCTCTTTTGCTCTTCATCCCGACACTGTGTATGCGATGCGGCAAGCAAATTGAAATGCTTAGCAACAATTAACTGGAAAATATACACGAACGGAGTAACAAAACGGAACAATGTTTTGGCCACAGAAATGTTGGCATTAAATGCAATTAAACCAGAGCCACAACAACACAAAAAAAATTAGGCGTTTGACAAGTGACTAAAGTGATTCTTAAGCTCTGGCTAAAATTTCACTTGGGGATCATCGTCCATAATTGTTGGTGTATTGTTAGATTTTCTATCAACGCAATACATCAAAATATAAGTTCATTTATCCACTTTTCAAAGTGTTTTCACACCAATCACTATGTGTCTCTCACTCTCACCCTTCTCACTGGATGCGTCAAAAAGAAACAAGTCACAGGAAAAGAAAAGACAAATCATGAACAATTGACGCACAGAACTTTTTGCCATGGATATTTATTTTGCTAGATTTGAGCTCAATCAATCACTTCACAAAGTCCCAAGCACTAAACTTTGATCGAAGCATGATGGAACGGATTGTGTTTCTGTGTGTTAGCCGAGGAAAAACATTCATTCGATCGAATTCCATTCGGTTCGGTTCGGTTCGATTTTGGTGTAGTGTGTGCTGTCGATTCTGAAATAGAAGCGTCCGTCCGAACCAACACAAATTCAACGCATAAAGAATGCCGCAAAACATATTTATCGATGCCGAAAATAGCACTCCATCGTACGAACGAGAACAGGGAGCATCGAGCACACAGAATGTGTCGACGTGCAGCTGATCTGAAAAGCAATAGCGTCAAAATGAAAAGGTTAAATTCATTCAGCAAATAAACGAAAACAATGTGTTTTCGGAAAGAATGCAGAGAGAGAGAGAGAGAGAGAGAGAGAGAGAGAGAATGAGAGCAAGAGAACAAGAGAGTGAGCTTTTGTTACGAATAAAATACGTTTATTGTGCGGCAATAAAGTGTTCTAAGCGACTTCTGCTTCTTATTGTTTGCAGTATGACGATTGTGTGATAGTTTGGCCAACCAAATTACGGAAGTTCGAGCATAAGCAGTCTCGATATGAAATGTTTCACAAAAAAAAACCAATGGAACAAACCAGAAAAAAATAGAAAATCCCATTCGAATTGCAACTAAACTGAAGAAAACAAGCCGATGAAAAAGTTAACACAGAACGTTACAAGCGACGTTTTCCACACATTTGACAATATTTTCTTATACGATAGTCGAAATCGTTGCTTCGATTGTTTTGTGGGATGAGAAAATAACATATCAAATAGTATCGCTTATATTCACGTAGCCCTGAACTCTCTTTTTCTCCCTTTCCATCTCCCTCCCTCTCGATTGGCTTTTCCCTCTACACAAAGCTCGAAAGATTTGTTCCAACTAAATTGAAACGGAACGCTTTTTTCCACACTATTCCACTCGGTTCGTCTTTTTTCCACGGCATTGTCGGTGTTTGGTGCGAGAAAAATTCCCATACCGACGCGAAAGAATGAGAAACAAGGAATGTTCAAACACAAAAAGCAAGTAAAAACCAGAACAAAAACAAATATTTGAAGAAAAGAAAAGAAAAGAAAACAATAACGATAAAGAATCGAAGAAAGGCAAAGACACATACACATACACACAAAGAATAAGGGCAACAATAATGGAATATAAGGTAAAACATTGTAAATGAACACTTGGGTCTTTGTCAGTTCTTTAATTTTTTTCCCTTGTGCCTTCTGCTGCCTCGTTCGTTTGCCTTCGTCTCTTCCTTTCGATTCCGGTTGGCTCTCCCACATTTCATATATGCTTCCGTCTGATGTGCAGTGGAAAAAAAGAAGCGAACGAAAAATTGAATGAATCACAAACGGCTGAACGGCGAAATAGAAAAGAAAACGATGGGAACTTTTGATGTTTCTTTCGGTACATTGAAATTTTAGCTCGACAAACGGCAGCCGATAAGGCGAGGCCGGCGACAGCAGGGAGTTCGAAGAAAGAGAATTGACAACCATTGAAATTGTGTTTGAAAACAATACCCGAACACACTAAACGAAAAAGAACAGAAATACACACCCAGCACGAGAAAAAACCTATCATGATGAAGACAAGTGCGAGGTAAACGGAAACCTTTAACGCGTTGTAACAACAATGTAAATTCGGTGTAAATTGCTTATTGTGCCGAGCCACCGCCATTGTCGTTTGTATGGATGTGTCAGGCAGCAATCCAATGCTTGGTTTTTATTTTCGAATCACATTTCGTTGTACTTTTTTCTTCACTTTTTCTCTCCCTCACACTTCTCGCCCGATTGGGGATGGGTTTTTGGCATTATTCAAGATTTCTTCAATAGCGACTTTTGCTTATTGTTGTGCTTTCGAAATCAGCATCATTGTAATTCTCATGGCTTACGACTTAAACTAGAGAATTGGTTTTGGTTTGGTTCGATTGATCATCGGATTTTTGCACTTCATTGAAGATTTGCTCGTTGGCAATTTGCATTGTATGCAAACAAAAAAACACACGCATTTGGAATATTTACGGTGATTCGTTTCGTTTTTATTGCATTTTTAATGTTTTTCAACCGCTTATTTTTGTTGCGGTGTGCGTCACACGCATTTTATCTCACCTGACGACGACAATGTGCGCAACGACAACGATTCCACGTATTTTGTTCCCGTTCTTTTATTCTGTGTTCGTCATGTGTACGTTCTTTTTTTTTGTTTGATAAATTCGCGTGCTGTGATAGCATCGTTTTTCAGTGACAGTTTCACCATCAAAACTAACGTTCGACACACACACATACACACGATTCCACTCAACACAAAAGGCATATCGTTTTCGATATTTCTTGGCACAACAATCAAACCAAAAGTATGTGTGTTTAGAATGATTATTGTGTATGGAGATTGTTGACGTGGTGACAATTGTTATGCTCACCATTGTGAGCTTCGAAAAGGTGTTTCAACATCTCGCCTGAACGAATGACAAATGACAAGCACTTGAATTACAAAACTTGATATAGCAAACGTGTCATTCTCACACATTCAAGCGGAAGAGCGCACGCACGCACGCATTGCATATGCTGATTTTCGTCCCCTTAACGCACTGCCTTTTATGTGTTTTTTAAGAAGACGATGATGGCAATATATTTAAACAGTATCGGCGCGAAAGTCTCGCATTACTTTGCATAGTTTTGTACGCCTTCGTTTTATCTTGATTGCCACTTTTCAGAATTTCTGTTTTTTTTCGTTCATTCGTTTGTGTTTTGGATCTCTTTCATTCTCCGTGTCGCGTTCGACGCTCTTTCGTCTACCAACTTACCACTTGGCATCACTTTCAATGGCGTAAACAAAATCACAAATCGCATCGAAATAACCGAAACAGGGAAAATTGCACCCAGCAATAACATGAATGCTCAAAACTCAAAAGGAGTATGAGTATGTGTTAGAGAGAGCTCAGTTGATTATCTGTTTGCAATTCATTCAAAAGTTTTACGATTACACGCTCTACAGAGCAAACGATACGTGCTATAAATTCCTTCACCGTTAAAATGCTCACTTAGCGCAACTTGCTACTTGTGCTTTTACTTCACTGTGTGCTTGTGTGTAAACGACCCCGACAGCTTCTTGTACGTAAAGTTTTATAGACAACGCAATGCGTACTTTGGATTTTTTTTTATTGGAAAGCAGTAAAATGACACAGGCCTCGGTGTATAATATATATACACTGTGTATGCCTTATTGCCGACAGGTTTTATGCACTTTTTTCGCTTCACATTTACCGCTCATAGGTTGAGTGAATGGCAATGATTTTCGTAATTAACGAACTTTGCCAAATAATTGAAAAGTAAATTCACTCAATTAAAAATTCGTTTGAATGCCTTGTTCTTTCAAACAAAGAAGATTTCGGCAATTCTCATTGGCATAAAAAGGGAATGGTGTAGGTTAATTTAAGAACAAACGATCGCCTGATTGAGTCAGATTAAATGTTGGAATGAATAAAGCTCATCGAAAAGTTCAATTATTTATTTCACTGTACTTTGGAATCAATCAAAAAAAAATTCGCTGAAAAAAAAATCGTTCGATTTATTTTGCATTCAAAGTCGCTGAAGCACCATCGAATATCCCTTTGAATTCAGCATTAAAACAGCTTTTTACGCTTAATTCGTCTGTTTAAAATCGTAATTCCATGATAAAAATGCGTGGTTCAACATAAACAACCAGCACTTATATTACATACACTTGTAAAAAATGACGAAAACAATCCGTGGAAAATTGAAGGATTTCCCGAATTACATGTTATTGTATCGCATTAAAATCGCCGCACAAAAATTGAAAATAAACTCTATGTGAGTGTGTGTGAGTATGTGAGTTCGTATCGAACAATAAAAATCAATGCTATTAAAATGGTCGGGCACGTACAAGCCCTTCACAATTGAGTGTGTGATTTTGATCACCCACTCATAATATTTTGATAACGGCAATGAGTGTAGCAAATCAATAATGGAATCGTAAGAAAAACTTTGAAATACCACTTTCAAACCGTTTTTTCCCCCCATCTGATCGGCACCCATCAGAACCCACATCAATGTTTGTATTATTTATTCTTTCAATCATTTGATTTTAATTCCATTCTTTTTGTCACTCGATTCGTTTTTTCTGTAGGTCAAAAAGTAGCGGCGACAACAGAAAGAGTAGAATTCAAGTGTCCGTCTGGATATGGCAATGGAAATTTTGCCGATCCAGCTACGTGTCGACGATTTTATCAGGTGAGTTGATTTTTCTTTCTTTCCTACAACGTGTGTTTGTGTCAAAGACACACTAAATGCTTGTTTGTGCCCATTTTGGTTTGTGCCCATTCTCGTTGGTTTTTTTCTCTCTTTCGTTGGGCCTCAAATTTCAAGAATGAAAGGTGAAACTCACAGACGAACCCAAAACTCATTTTGGTTTATGGTTCCTATTTGCATTGTTCTTCTTTTTTTGGTCTTGCTGTGATTTGGTTGGTAAATTAAAATGATTGTCTCTTCGACCATTGTTGTATGGCCGCTGTGTTTCGCAGTGCAGTATTGAAGAGGAAGAGGGCATTCTCAAATAAATCTCCAGCTGCTCGGATGCATAATTTTTTGTTATTATTTCGTGATTTCTATTTTTTTTCGAAAAGAAAACGACGACGACGACGACGACGATGACGACGATGACGACGAAAAAAACACACAATCACGATTTCAATTTACAAAGCCAGTGCATGCATTATTCATGAAACAATATTTTCGGAGCTCAAAAATGTTTCATCATCAGAAAATCTCCCCCACACACATATATAAAAGCCACGTGTTCACATCACCGCATTAAAAATGTCACCCAGAAGGTTATAAATAAAAACGACAGCAGAAAAAAAACACGGAGAGACCAACCCAAACGCAGCATTTCCATTTTAAAATTGCTTTAATAATTTTCTTTTGAGATTTGAGCTGTAGATGCAGAGAGAAAAAAAAAATTGAGTTTTTCCATTTATGAAGTTCATGCCAAGCAATTTTCCATTGTCCAAGGCACACAGCCGTGGTGGTGGCGACAAACAATAAAAAAGAAATCCAAACTTAATATTGTCAGTTTTTATTTGTTTGCATATTATAATCGACACTACAATGCACTTCACACAAATGGTTCTTTTTTCGGGCAAGTTTTCACATTCCACAGTGAAAATTTCATTTCCTCCGGTTTTTCTCTCTTTCTCTCCTTTTTCTGCGTGAACCATAACAACTTCCATAAAAAATACCTCAGTCAAAGGTGATAAAATAGATTTGGTTGTTTTTTTTTTTGTTCATCGAATCAACATCCGACCAGAAATGCTCAAGTTGTAGTGACTTTTGATTAGCTGATTTACATTTTTATTCACCCATTGTGATTCAATTGCATTTGATTTTGTTGTTTTTCATTCAAATTGGTAATGCTTTTTTCCCTCGAATTCTTTCACTTTTTCCGATTTTGATTTGATGCGCGAAAATGTAAAGTGTGTTGATGGATACCCATACTTGAACACATGCCCATCTGGATTGCATTTTGATGATGCTGCCAAGTACTGCACGTTCAAAAACGAAGCTCGCTGTGGACCATTAGCTACAAGTAAGTTAACTATAAGATTCCTTGTGCACATTCATTTGATAGATTTTAAGCTTTTGTTCGTGAAATTCTTCCGGCAGCTTTTTACATGTTTGCTTCAAATGAGTTCAATCTATACTGAAATCGTTTACTATTTTGGTATATCCATCATTTTGAATTCAACCCAATTTGAGTTTTATTCAAAATGCACTTCAAATCATGTAATGAAAAATTCCATGAACATCACCTTGATTGGCGTCTTTTCTAACTAACTGATTTTTAAATTCTCAAACGAAGAGACAAAGTGAAATAGTACTATTATAAAAGTCATCTGAAACGGAAAAACTTTTATATGGCTTCAAAATTTCGATTGAATGTCACCATCAAACGAAACTAACTTTCTATAAAATTAAAATTGAGGACATTGATTCAACATGAAATGGGATGTGTTCGAAGTGATGAAAGCATCGCACCCACTATTAAAGCGATAGATTGTGATTGATGCGTCGCTATTTGAAACTTGCTCATTTCATCGACAATAAACTGAAAAGAAGGATTTCAAATGACAGCAATTTTCCCGATTCTATGTATTCACTTGGGCTTATGTATCAGACGGAGGTAGTATTTTCAAGTGGTTTGCATTTTCTTCCACTTCACCAACAACGACGATGACGACGACGACAACAGCGACGAAAAAGAAGGTCATGAGATGTGCATTCCAGGTAAATTGCAATCGATCAAGTGAACAATTTTCTCTTGCATACTAGGAAAAGTATTAGCATTTTTATTACAAAAGCTTTCACTCATCGCGGAGAGAGGGAAAAAAACGTAAACAGACACGTTCAACTATTTGCAAGGTTCTTGGAAACAGCACCACATTTCATATGAATAATAATCGGTGAATGCAATCAGCATCAGTCTGTTTCTCTCTCTCTCTCTCTCTCTCTTTCTCTCGTATTATTTACGATTGAAATTATCATTTCAGAGATAGAGTAAAATGGCTTCAAAATAATATGATGGCACTTGCGAAGACCAGCGCAATTTATTTCGTTCATTTCAACAGAAAAAAAATCTTAAACACACAAAAAATGCACAACAAAAACATTTAACTGGGGCAAGGATTGCCATTTTGTTAAATCGAATAATAGACTTCATTCCGATTGAATGTGTTTGGATGAGTTGAATCATTTTCTTCATTTTTCAAATTCAAGCATATTTTTGCGGTTGCCCAAAACCAGAAGGTTGCATGCTCATGAATATTATCTAAATAGTGAAAGATGGTGGAAATGCAATAAAAAGACTTAGTGATTGAATGTGGGTGGATTAGCACACTTTTCGAAGATTTTCTCGAAAAAACATAAATAATGAAATATGCCCGCAATATCGTACCAAAAAAAGGAGTGAAAAATCAACTATTTCAACAACGAAGACGAACAAAAAAGAACCAGTCAGCCCATAAATTGTATACGTACTCCACTTGGATGCCACTTGCATATTCTTCTTTATATTCATTGTTTTGCAAATTATATTTAAACTCCTTATTCTCTCCCACCATTTTCGGTTTAATTTTCAACAATTATGCGAGCACTTTTTGCGCGGCTACATACGTTCGCCCACATAAAATTATTCATTTAAAAACAAATACACACGCATACATTGCAATGATTTAATGAGCAATGAGCTAAATCATACAATTAATTTTCAAGCACTTTTTTACCCAAAGTATTTTTTGTGTGTATGTGTATATCTGTATAATATTTCAACAAGGTTTGATGTTACTGCCATTAGGAAATGAGACGTGTATGTAGTACGTCTGATAGACCAAAAACCAAAGCGTAACAGCTTTCCCAACTAACTAAAAAACACACAGAGCTTTTGTGTGTTAAAACCGGCATCCATTTTAGGTGAGACAGGTATCGTGCGTTCCGTTTAGCTGCTGAACTCCAAACAACATATTTCGTTGAATAAAACTTTTCACTTTGATTTATTTTAAAGTTTTGCAATGCAAACTACAGCCAACGGCAACTCGAGAAACTTTCCAATTTTGACATGAATCTTGATGGAATCAGATTGTTCATGGTTGTTCATGGTATCGTTCGTAAGGTAATTTCAGTAGCGAATTAATAAACAATACCATCGATATTATGTGTACGAACAAATCGCAGCTCACAAAATGTTGCCAAGAATTTTCGCCCATTTTTCTCTTCTTCTCTTTCTCTCTTGCGTCTTCACGACAAAATGGCAGTGTTTTTGCATTTGCGACCGATGCAAAACTGAAAGTATCAATAAGTTAGAAACTTTAAAATTTATGACATTTGAATGCAATTTTCATATTGTTATTCACGTCACTGGACTGGAAATCATCTTTTATATCACAAAAAAGTGAATAGCACCATCGATTTTTCATCCCTTGAATGCTCGTTTTATCTTTTGCTTTTGTTATCTCTTTTTCTCTTCTGCTTCTATATGTCGCTCCATTGCTCTCGCTTCGCTTCGTCCCGCTTTTTCAATTTCGTCCCGGCTCTCCAAAAGCTATCTCGTTGGCTTCGGTTGGCTGGTGCAAAGAATAGGCGACACATTATTGCAATATGTTGCATCGGCAAATGTCGACCGGGCGAAGAACGGTGGGAAACTGAAAGCAAATCAAACTATGAACTGTCATACGTTGGGTTATAATGGTGACACGATTCAAAGACTTCATATGCATTGGTTGTGGTTGAGTAAAAATGTGTCACTTCCCAAGACGGTCATCGGATTGCGAGGGGCGCTGGAAAAATTCTAATTTCAGGTCGAATTTAAAAGTGAAAAATGGATGTGTGCAGTACATGTTTACGTTTACATTCACCTCTAGTTCGACTGGTGATTTTTTTTCCCTACCCTCCGTGTCGTTTTGGTCGTCGAATTTCAGTCAAAAATGTTCGAAAGAGTGTAACTTAAATTATGAAAGGGTGTGACTGGAAGCGTGAACTAGGACATAAATTCAACGAATAATGAAATTACAACAGCTGAATGCAGGAGGAAAAAAATAGAAGCAACAGTAACAGCATCACATTCGAATCGGGTTAAATGGGAAATAACAAACATATGGAAAATACACGGAGCTTGCGATGCTTTGAGTCTGATTGCAACAACAAATGTTCCGACTGAAAGCCAAAACGAAGTGAAACCAAATCGAAAATGGATAGTAAATAAAGTTATCACGTACGTTTTCTAACTGGGCTGCTACTGCTTCTACTTCTGCTGTTGTTTCGACGCTCGAAAGTGGTTTTTTGGCTATTAAACCAGTTTTTTTCTGCTATCGCTGCTTGTTCTCGGTCCAACCATTTCCATTTCGTCATTTCAAGCCGTTGTTTTCGATTCCTTTTGCTTCTTCTCCATCAGTCCAACATACTCACACACACCAACAGTGGATCACATCCACTAGTGAACAAGCTTGTTCGGACACCGAATGATAGAAAAAAAAAAATAATATACGTAACATGACTTATTTTTTTTCGTTTGGTATGCGCTGTTGTTTTGTTCTTCTAGCTTAACTTCGCCAAAATACTGGCAGTAGATGGAAGCAGCGTCACAAGCAAGCACTCATTTATTCGCTTCGACTTTCTTTACGAATAACTGTAAACAGGATTTGTGTTGTGTGACACATTTTACGTTTTGCCTTTGGCCATTCGGATTTGATTTGACATCCATCGATGTATCGCTGCTAGACTTCTAGCCATATCGCATATGTTTTTCACTCGCATTTGTTTACGCAGACATAACCCAATGTCTTCATTCGATTCCATTCGATTCGTAGTGTATTTATTTTTCTCATTTTATGAATTTTTTTCTTCGTTTGGTCGTAGTGTGTGTTTGAGCGAAAGCTTTGGGTCATCCCATTCGATTTATGATACTTCAATATGGAATACACATAGTACACGTACGATGATACGTTGTTGTTGTCGTCTCTCTGCTTTTGAGGACCAACAGCATTGATGCAATTTTTTGGACGAAAACATACCAAAAATAAACCACAAACAATGCCAACGACACATACACAGTGCGAGAGGAGCAGAACCAGTAGCGAAAAAAAGAAATTGACGACGATGACGACGATAGAGAAGATACGAAGATTGTGAACGGAAAATAAATAGAGAATGAATAGCGAAATGTTTGATGGCATATTTGAGTTGTGCTTCGCTCCATGCAGTACAATCCATTGACTCATATTTGTTGGAGCTGCGATTCGTCCTGCTCGCGTTCACTTTGGGTGCCATCACAATCGAACGATAACTGTTAGTTATTGTGTGTGAAAATGACGTTCATATCGATTCCGAAAAGAAATAGAACGCCCTTATAATGTTGGCTTCGAACGTCCGTTCGTTCGTTCGTCAACATAAAAAGAAACTGTTTTGTTCATTCGTTCGTTCGGAAGGTTTGAAAAAAATTATTTTGTTCGTTCGTTCGTTCGTTCGTAAAATTGAAGAATAACTTTTTTGTTCGTTCGTTCGTTCGTTCGGATAATATGCTACGGTCGAACATGTTCGGATTTTATCAAACTATTCATATTACAATAATGATTTGTTTGTAACTCGTATGTAAACAACACACCAGTACAGAGTGCTCCGCACATAGTTGTTGGTATATTCCCGGCAAAATAACATTGAATTAATTTAATCCCAATGCGTTTGACTTGTGATTTTTTCTGGACCGTTCTAAGGCACATCATAAAATGTTTGTTGGAGAGTCAACAACGGTGACAGCTACGCGACACGAAAACGTAGTGATTTTAGTTTTGCTTTCGATAAAGAAGTAATATTGAGTGGAAAAAGTGAATTTACTTTTCTTTGGTTTACAAAATTATTTCTGAATTCTTCATTTTTTAGCATTTCAAGCAAATATTGTTCATTTTATTTTCGTGAATTGGACCGATTTAATTAATTTACTTTCAATTAGTGTCTGAGCACAACGATAATGAAAGCGAAATCGCAACGTGTGAACGACGTTATGCTAAAAGAGACGGAGTTGATTACGATAAGCCAGTG